TAGCAAAATCCGTCTCTAGCAAAATCTGTCTTGAACAAATGACTCAATATATTTAACCGAGTTTCTTGGCAATTTCTTCCTCTTTTTTGCAATCTGCTCCCAATTATTTACATGTTTACCTAGTATTAGGTTTATGGAGCTATCACAACACGATAAATTCGGGTTGGTATAAATTTATGCTCATCCTCTACACAGTTCGGCGAGAGGAGGCTTTTTGTTGGTAAACATTGAGGGCATGAGGTGTGGTTGGTTAATCTTCCTCGAATTTGTCATTGGTCGTTCGGTGGAGATTTCTAAAAAGCCATTTTTTAGCTCTCCTTCATGGCAAAGTGCAATTTATAGGCCATCATTCCAAATGGTGAGCCAACCCACGTAGCTCTCGACTACTATATAAATACAGCCTTTTAGTATGTATGTATGCATTCACACTTTCACTTACCAAAAACAGCGCTGGGTTATAAATATCGAAGCCGCTTGTGGGAAAAGTGTTTCCGTGATGGAGAAAAATCTTGGAGACGAACACACATTCAATGAATAATTATAAAGATAGCCATCTTTGAAGCATGTATTCATTTTTATCCACAAATCAGAGTGTCGATCAAACTCTAATTACTGATCACAATCTACCTTTTCGGTTAAAATTGAATTTGTAATTGATAAGCAACTTGTTATTTTGTGAAAAAAGCATATGTACGGAGAATATATATAAACATAGAGTCGAGCTACATATATTTGTACGGATGTATTGTGCGGCGATGCTCTTCTTCGATATGTGGATGATGACATTTGTTGGGAGTATTTTTTGGCGGAGGATGGTGATGACATGCCTTGACACGAAAAAGATATGCCTGGCCAAAAAGATGTTTTTGATACAATATTGTAAAATGTCAACTCATCATATATGTAAAACCCAGCATGTGGAACCCATCACAAAAGACGAAACATATATACCACATACGCCGCATATGTACCTCTCAAATCGAACAACAACAACTTGGTCATTCTTGCTGTGTCAGGTTTACGAGGACGTTGATACTGCTACATCTCAAGTATATCATGGATATGGACATATAATATACGTCTCAATGTCCTGCAAGCTTTACAGAAAGCCATATATTCAGTAGAGATGCGAAATTGAAAAGCTCAAATCATGCTGTTAAGGTGGCACGAGATTGATAAAAGTATTTGTAAGGTTTTCTCCGGATCAAGGATCACGTTTTTGGCACCAGTGAAATCATACATTTTTCAACTCCAAGTTCACAGTTTGACAAGAGAGAGAATAAACCTTTAAGCATCTTGACTCAGAATTTACAGCTCAAATTGAAATCGAATCCCTTATCGCATCGCATGCATGTATGGACATTTGCGTCTATACAGACCGTGTCAAATTGGGGATTGGCAAATACCAAAGATTTGCTCTTCACTCTTGTCCACCATCCGCTCTGGTGACCATATGGAAACTATAGAATGGCTCTGCCCTCATATCATATTGTGACATTTTCAAGAAATTCAATTGAGCACTACGTGCGTATGGTGCAAGTGCGGTGGATGTATGGCGACGTGAAGTGGCACTTGATGTCATCGTCCGAAAAAAAGCCAGGCAAGAGAGCAGATCAACTGGCATTCTACTTACGTAAAAGAAAAAGATGAGAGAGAGGTTGCATTTTGGACTTGCTGAATTTGTGATGAAAAAGAAGAAAATGTAATGTAAAATTTATTATGTGTCGCTCACAACACATTTCCTTGCAAACTTTATTTTACGACTCGAATCAAGTTGGCAAAAATCCTTCAAGCTTTTCCCAGCTTTACTATCGCTTTGGACCCCAATAAAAATTTTAGATGGTCAATCTAAAAAAATCAGCAAACAAAAAACATACCAAAAGACGACGACAGTTAGGAAATATTTGAAAGGAAAGTAAGTCAATTTTTATGCAGAAACATTCGTGTGCATGCATAGGCAGTCGCTCAGTTGGCAAAGCTGGCAGGCGACGAATGACAACTTGTCGCAATGCGGGGTGCATGGTGGTGGTGCCGTCTCCAAAATTTGAAATTCAAGATTTTTTGTTCACTCTGAAAAAAAGTAGAGCTAAACTTGATCTGATAAAAATTCCACGAACTAAAAGATTGAATTTGAAATTGTAAAATGGATTGTGAACACAAATGTCGAGGTTGTTTAATTGAATCATTTGTTGCCAAATACCTAAAATGCGAACACCATTCCTTCTTCTTTTCTGCATCGTTGAATCGAGCCATCTTTTAACTAAAACCTTGATAGCAGCACTTGACTCGGGAAGAAGTAAACTAATCGTTTTGGTTCAATGTAGCTAATAAAATTAATACAATGGAACCAAGGATTGCGTGACTGGAACAGATCCAATAAATAAATCTGGTGATGGTCATTAATCAATTGACTGGCCGGATTTTTTAAGATTAGAAGACAAACCTCTCTCCTCAAGATTGATGACAATCTATTAAATTTGATTTGTACGAGGTATGCAAATTCAACATTTGCCTTCCTCCCTTTCCTTATGCGTATATAGCAAAACATAACAAACAATGCATTCCAATTTGTATTTGCAATTGAGTTCGAACGGCTGGTCAGTGCTAATGAGAACGTCACGAATATTTTTTATTTCGTTACAATAATAAAAGTAGCATCTTTTGCGGTTACGAGTTTTGTCAACCCACTAACCATGTTTTTTTCATCGGGATGTTAATAAGCTCCTAACAATATCTTGACAGCAACACGAGAGCTGCATTATTTTGCTGTTGCTTCTGCACAGTTCCGCTGACACCGTGACAGTGCGAGTAATATATTTTTTATTCAGATCAGTGGATTACAAAATTCGAAATAAGAAGACAATTATTCATTGTTCTTTCTTGGCTTGGCCATTCGACGTTCATGATTATCATCGAGGTGGACTTGGGCAAGTAAAATCAGCCGACATGAGATACCCGATCACACGAGCATGTAACAATGAGCAATAAGAAATATAAATCACTTTCTTTGAGTCTACATGAAATAAATTGCATATATTACTTCTTACCAAATCTAGAACGTGTGTGTGCGTATAAGTATTTGTACATATACCCGGAAGGGAACTATGCATGTGACTTAACCACCTTAATAATTATTACTGATTGCATTAAGCATTTCAAATCCCTGCCACGCCTTGATTATTACGAGGCAAATCTGCATGTTTGGAATAAATTGTGACACGATGTTAAATATCTGGGTTGCTCATCTTTTATGGAGAATTTCACGGAGTGTGCATAGTCAGTAAATATTTATTTCATTGTGTCGCCTAGCCCAGTTTTTCAAGCATTTGTTTTTTTATCCATTCTTTTGGCCTTTACATATTTTTATTTTATTACATATAAATGTAATGCCTTTGTCCACATGTGATACCACAGTGACAAGGCAGATATTGTGAATTTTGGTGAAATCTGACTTGTAGAAATGACAGAATTTGTACGTCAGACTCGAATTTTCAGCTTTCTCTGTGTACGAGAAATAAAATAATGAAGGAACAAGAAACTCAACATCACCACCACGACCATTCAGCATCTCTTTCCGAATTTTCTTTTTAAAACCTAGAATTAGATTATTTCGCTATTTCTCTCTCTGTCTCCTGCGCCTTGTCAGCCCAGTCAGTTCCCATCAGTCGCCTGTCTCCCGTCTAATCTAATGTTTGTCCTGGTCCTCCCGTTCGTTCAACTGCAACCCTTGTCCCTTGAGAAATGCATAATAAGGCTCCCGTTACTTGACGGCATCACATTAAGGAGACAACAGGATGAGGAAAGGGACGGACGGCGTGGAAGGCAGCGGAGGGGCCACAGAACGCGAGAGAGAGAGAGAAAGGGAAAGTTATGGGACTGAAAAAAAGCCAGAATGGAAATAACATGATATCACATCCAACAACAATAACATCTTCTTCACTCCACATCATCTATATTTTCAACATCACCCAAAATTTCCCAACGGGCGAGTTTGTCCTTTGTTTCTCATATAGAAGAACGGCGAGTGAAAAATAATATAATTAGTTTGGACGTGTCACATTACTTGGATGAATGCGCGTGGACATGTGCGTTCGTTAGCCTGTGGCTTATTACACATTCAGAAAAATTAATACCATCTGCCAACAAAAGGATAAAGGGAAACCGTGGACGGAGTGAACAATAATAATAATATTTAATAATGTGTGTCATATGCTGCCAAAATTTTGCGGTTGAAATGTAATGCAAATGTGTGCTATTTAAGTAAAATATTTTACACTAAGATTTATTTTTAGTCTGGTTCCTTCTCTCCGAGAGGAATAGAATTCTGCTGTCTGCAACGAATTCATTTAGATCTAGTTAAGTAAGTAGTTAGTTCAAATTTGGGGTCGACTGGGACCCTGCCTTGATTTGATACAGTTTTAGAGAAGGGACGAGGGTGAAATTATTAAAGCTGTTGTTGTTTTGTATTTCCAATGAAGTGCGGACACAACAAAATGAGATGCAGGCTGACTGTTGGTGATGTTTGATCTGATGCTCTTGTAATAAATGTGTGACTGTATGAGACACCACGCAGAGACGTTTGTTGGCTGACTTCGCTCTTTACTCGGTTGAATGAATAATGCAGCCCAATTCTATAATATGCAACATTGAGATGAATGAATGAGCCGAATGGATGAATGATGGCTTAATATTCATGAGACGAATGCGGATTATTCGATGTGAGACTGGATAAAATGAAAATGCCGTGTACATAATCACCGCAATGCACGAACGGATGGGGACCATTGTAAAATATGTGCAGCGTTTAAATAAAGTTATTTTATGAAACACTTTTAGGATTATACGGAATCTAAAGTTGAGAATACAAGGGTGTACTCGACATGATGATGATGACATAAAGTTTAAATAGCATTATCAACTTATGGTTTAAGCCTTAATAAAAGAGTGAAGCACATTTCCAACTGAGTGGCTAACAGTTTATTTTATTTATGCCTTTTCAGAAGTGAAGACATCATGAGCTGCATATCAGCACTGGATGAAGTCATTGCTGAATTTGATGACCCATCTCTGTCATACATTTACGAAGATGATTGTAGTAACAATAGTGCTCCCGGAACGCCAAGTCAAAGTCAAATCGTGCCATCAAGTTCAGGAGAAACAACAAAATATTTCTCTGGCGAAGATCAGCTAGTCTTGAAAAATGAGAAGGCCAATCACGCTACTCCTCATAAAGTCCTCAATCAGCCTGTTTCTGAAAGCAACAGTAGCAGCAGCAACAGTAAGTCGTCTCCTCCTAGTCGTCAGAGTCATCTTATTCAGATCCCAGTTTTCTCCTCGGCGAAAGCCTCCAAAGCAAGCAGTAGCAAGCAGTCTTCAAAATCAGAAGGAACGGGAGTATCGTCAATCCAAATGCAGCCCATTTCTAAGGAGAAAGTCATTTCCCCCTCGTCGAGTTCCACATCAACTCCCTCATCCCTGTCATCTAAATTACCGGGCAGGCCGTCAGTTGTGCCACAAACTTGCAGTGACACTAGTCCAAATTTGAAAGTCTCAAAATCCGGGAGCAGTAGTAACGGTGGTGGTGTATGCGGTGGAACGTACAGCAAGGGAACGATGAGCAGTCAAGAAATTCTTCTTCTTCCCCGCATTCCCTCCTGTTCTTCTGACAACAAGTCTTCCGTGGGCTCTTCTTCTTCTAGTCGAAAACACGTTCAACAAGAACCAATTTACTCTTCCGTTGGGAAATCCAGACCACAGCTTTCTCTTGGTATGTACACATCCTCAGAGCCTGATGCTGGTGGTCACCACCACCGCCACTTGTTCCCACCTCAAGAACCTGAAGTTGATTACAACGATGAGACGACGCATGATGTGACCAGGACCAATGCTGCTGCTGCTGCTGGTCTTTACAATGCCAATAACGATCACAACCATCATGAAAAACCATTCAGTTCGTCTGGTGGAAGCGGAAGACTTTCCAAATCTTCCTCCTCAAGTGGTGCTGCTACTTCTGCTATGGGTTGTCTTGCCTCCTCCCCTTCAACTCAACTTACCAAAGAGCTCTGGAATTTCCCCTCTGAAAAGAATTTGCCACGGTCACTGAGAAAAACTCGAAATACGTGTTTTCTCGATGATAACTCGATGGGTGAAAAGTCCGAGGGAAAGCTAAACAATGAGTCTGACAGCGAAGCTCGTTCGATTGGTGGTCACTCCTCTGCCTCTGAGGACCTGCACCCTAATTCCAGACACCACCATCAGCACAACAACAATGGAAGGAATTCAACAAAAATGGATGACAAACAGAAAATTTATGAAGAAATTGCTGAAATCATTTCATCCAACAAGGGGCAACAGCATAAAGGAGCAGCAGCAGTAGACTCGTTCGAGAGAGCAAGTTCCAGCTCGTCCAACAGCTTTACTTTCAACAGCTTTAATAATAATTCCACTTCACCGGGAGCAGATCCACAACTGGTCAACGCACCCATGCCCAAACCTCGAGTGAGACAGCAGATTCCAAAGGAGGACGGACTTTCTCCCGTGAAATATCCACCACCACCTGGAAAGATCCCGAAACCTAATCCCAAACCCGTCGCTGGCACGAACCAGACTGAACCATCTTCTCCATTTTCTCCTTTGCAATGTGAGATTACTCGGACTGGAGATGAAGTAGTCGTCGACGTGTCAAAAGCTGGGATCTTTCACGAGACTACGAATGAGATGAAGCACTCTGTGAAAAATAGCAGGCTGAAAAATAATAATTTGAACAATGGCAGCAGTCCCACGACGACGACTTCCACCACCCCAACTGCAACTGCTACTCAGAACCATAATAATGGGCACATGATGCGAATGATGATGATGAATCCAAGTTCGAAAAATAACAGTACTGGAAGTGCAAGCAGCATTAGTCGAAGTAGTTCCAGCTCTTCCGGCGGAGATCCCAATTACTACAGAAAGGATAACTTGTCCAGCAGCAGTGGGGTTGTGGTCACCACTAATTCATCCATCACAACGGGCAGTCCCACCCACTCTGTGAACAATAATAGTCTCACGCTGAACAATAACAACAATAACACCAACAACAATGTGACTATTATCCATTCCGAGAAATGTGGTAGTGAAGGAGGCTCGTCTGTCTCGATGATGGTGAAAGCAACGCCGCAAACCAAGCAGCAACTGCATAGTCAGAGAGGTGCTGGACAACAACAACAGCAACGTGGTCACCCTGGAATTGGAAAGAAGGCTTCGTCCACCCCTGTCGGTGCGTGTCACCAAGTTAAACATATCACAGCTAAACCAACCACTACCGTTGTTCTTACGAATGGAGTGCTTGAAGTGGATGACGGCTATTTGAGCATGATTAACAGAAATGAAGCACCACTCTTATGGCCAGAAGAGTTCATTGAAAACGAAACGTTTTCACCTGACGAGCTCAAGAGGCTCTCGGTCCATTTGCCTGAGGAAGACGAGGACGAGGACAGTTCATCCCCTGATTCAGATTCTTGCTCCGAAGAGAAGGAGATTGAACTGGAAATTGTGGATTATGACAGAGAACCCTCACGTCGACAGCCGAATCATCATAATCCATCACTCAAGTCATCTGCTGGATGTGGGTCCAAGGCCCGAAGACAGATGTCGGAGAAGAAGACCGATTATTTCTCGGACGACTCGCTCGAAGGTGACAGAGAAGAAGACTTGGCCAATTTTCATCATAAGAAAGCCCGAGGAAAGTCATCCTCTGTCTCACCTTACCTCTATCATGGTGACGGTGGTGGTTATCACAACGCAGGTAATCTGCATTCCACCAATTCTACTCCAAACCACCGACCATACTATCGCCAACAAATCACTGTGAACACGGCGGTGACACCCATGGTCAGAGGTCAAGTTTCCCGAATCCCCAAAATGATCAATGGAACCAAGCCGAACAAAGGAGGAGGAAAAAGCAGCAGTCCGGACACTCCAGTGAAACTGCCCAAGAGAAAGCCATGCTCCTTCTTCGTCTCATTGACTGATGAAGGGTGCTCAGAGGTAAATTCGCCTATTACCAACAATAAGTCCTCCTCGCTCCCAATGGGTGCCAAAGTTGCAGTTAGTCCGATAAAAAGTTCAGCCGCAAAAGTAAACCAATCTGCTACTGCAACACCTTCTTCTTCGAATGTTCAGATTATTGAGAGTAAAAGTACTACAGCCGAGACTAACAACAACAGCAACCGGGGAGGCGAAGGGTTTACTAATAACACAACAGCCCCACAAGTCATAGTCAACAGCAACTTACCTCAACTTCGACACACTAAATCCATTAACACTGGCGGTCCAAGGCACTTTTCATCTAACGTTAATAACGCTAACAAACGCAAAAGCACGAGCGACTTGGTGACGGTAGTGGCCCTTAATAATAACCACGACGCTACTGACATCCCACCAACGCAGCCCCCCACAAATGCTACTACTGTTAATACAGGCGGCTCTGTCAATTCGACGAGCGTGTTTAACCGTACCTCCACCTTCCTCATTCCTTCTCCTATTTCTAGAACCGGACACGACGAATTAAATGCGAACCAATTAAAGAGACCAAGAGACGATGAGACCGATAACGACGAAGACGATTTTTCTTCAGATTTTGACATTCTCAGCTCCACAGACCCCGAACCTCTCGACTCTCTTCAACCCCTCAGTTTAACCGATGTCAATGACTTTGTCTCTGAAATCATGGACACGGCTCTGAGACAAGAAATCAAACGGACTCAAATGGTCCTTAACAATTACCCCCCTACGGACATTGACAGTAGTACTAACTCCCAACTAATTGCGGACAAGTCTCAACAAGCTGTCCTGGAACAACTACCACTTGAGCACCATCAGCGTAATGCAACGCAGCAACCGTCAAGTCAGTCTCCCCAACAAGAAAAGAGAAAGTCGTCGTCTGTGCCAGCAGTAGCGGTGAAAAAGGAAGAGGCGACTCTCTGCTGTGATAATGATGACCAGCCCGCAGTTGAAAATCTTCCCGAAGATCGGGAAGAGAGAGCAAGGGTGGCTCTCCAACTCGAGGCCGTTGTTTCTACTTTCCTCTCCGACAATCAAAGTTTCCTGGGTCGAGGTGAAAGTGAAGATGGTGATCTGGATGTGGACGCACATGTTCAGCATGTAGTCGCTGGTGGTCGTAATGAATGTGATGATAAGAACTCCTCGAAGGGAGAAGTAGTGGAAATTTCTCACCTGAAGCCAAACCATGGTGAAAGCTTAGATCATTTTAATGACAAAAAAGATGAGGAACAGAAAGTTGACGAAATGAACAAAACGGACATCAAGGTTTGCAGTGATGCTCCACCAATCGACAAGGATTTCCTTCAGGTAAGTCTTCTTTAATTTTGAAACCATATTTATTGTTGAAACTACGGATATTTAAATCGCATCCATATTTTCTTTAAAACTTTTCTCATTTCATGCTTGAATTCTGGGAATTGCAGAAAGGAACGGTGCAACCCCTGATGAATTCAATCCCAAAATCAACCGGCAGCGGAGGAGGAGGTTGTGGCAGCAGTAACAACTCTGCAATTCGGGATTCTAGTCTTGTTGGAGAAGAAAAAATTTTGGACGTGGAGGAATCCGACGAAGAAGAGGATTCCGCAGAAGAGCAGCCTCCAGAGTTTATCCCAACACCTCCACCCCACTTGCTTTCTCCACCACCAATCCCAATTGCTCCCGTGGTTGTTTCGACAATACCTCAACACAAGAATCTCCAACCTGGTTTTATCAACACCAACGGAAATCTACACAATCTCCACAATTCCAATGTACGAGATGGGAAAGCGGCTCTCGACATTTTGGCTGAAAGAATCAACAACAGCAAAAAATTCTCTAATCCAGACGACCAGATACAAGTGTCTCAATTTATCCACGACAAGAGAAACATTTGGGCCATGTATGACCGTCCGTTTGATGAAGGTATGCACTCAATTTAGATCTGCTTAAGAAAATATTAATTAAAAATTGTATTGTGAAACTTGTACATTTTTTATCAAATTGCCCAATATTTTCCCCCTTTTAGACTTGCTGACCGTCAATAATCCCGGTGTACGAGGATACGCGAGTAGATCGCAAGAAAATTTAATGGATGCAATGACCAAGGAACGGTTTCAAAAGAGCTTCAATTCACGTGGTCAGTCTTCCACTCTGCCGTTGAACTGTAGACCCCCGACGTCTGGTGGTCAGCGAAGATCGAGCACGTTTCGCAACATGTTCAGCAAATTTAGACGAAGTATTACCGATCTCTAATTTTTTTAAATGACAAATTTAAGTACAGTATAATGCATTTAATTATGTTCTGTTGCAGATAAACAACCAGCTGGACAAGTTATTAAAGAACTCCCAGAATACAGGGATGATGAAGTACAGTCAATTACCAGTCGCGAAACTGGTCCCTCCGAGCAAGGGAAGAAGCGTGGGTTCTTTAGTCGTCTATTCAGAAGAAGTCGCAAACACTAAAAATGCTGTTATTACTTAAATATTAATTTAAAATATTCCCAATCATCATCCCGTGAATGCTTACTTTTACATATGATCGACTTAATAATACTATGAAATAATTTCGCTACCGATTATCGACATAAACCAGCCACGAGTATACGCGTTAGCTTAAACTTTCTTACAGTGTGTTCTGTTGCAAATTGTTATTAAAACCCGATGATGCAATTAACTAGGCCACTATATCATGTAAAAAAATAAATATAAACCACCCACGTACCGATTTACGGGAACAGGTATTAGCAAATGTATCTATCAGTAATTACATAACATAATAATAATAATATTACAAAATAACAATAAGCTAATTATAATTATGTATGTACGTACTTAAAATGAATCGAGACGTTGAGAAATAAAAGTAAAATTCAATCACAAATAACTTCTCGTAAACGCTTATTTTTTCACTAGACTTTACACATTTTTCAAACAAAATTTTAACATCGCTTAACGTTATTTGAGGATGAAACTGAAATCTAAAAATATCAATCACTGTGGGGAAAATATTAAAATTCATGAAGTACACATGCGAAATTTAAAACGTAACGTGCGTATATAACACGCGTTTATTTTGTTTCCATTGAGTCAAAATCTTTTACCGTCAGTATAAAAAAAGTTTAAATTAAAATCAGATAAACTTAAATCTAAACATACAAACACAAAACAAATGCAAATAAAACATTCAGACGAGGTACTTTATAAAAATAAAATATTATGAGCTCAGTGAGCGAATTGCGTCAATTACTATTTAGCGTTTGCCCATGCATAACTGCGCGATACAGGGGAATTTTTCTCTCAAAAGAGTATGGTTTCTTCGAACTCATAATAATCTTTGTAGTAGAGCCTCTAGGAAAATGCTCCTGAGCAAATTTACGAAGTTCCTTCTTTTCCAGCGGGTCATCGGACACTGTAAATAGTTAATTAAAAGAACATGAAACAACCTGTAAGGTGGAATGTTCAAAAGGCCCGAGCTAGGGTTTTTGCTTCCATTACACACTTCAGTAGGACTCAATAAGCATAACGATCCAATTTAAAATTGAATAAAACTCAGTTTATAAATTTTACGAACGTCTCCCAAGGCGTTCCATTATCATGTAACGCGGTTACATAATTTATGGACCTAGCCTGATGACTGCAAAGCACTACTTTTTGAGGTACAGTTCCGTCGAGTGCAGTTATCAGCTTGATCCTCATGTCAAATTTCAACTTGCTGACGATCGAAAAAACAATTGGGGTCACTCTTCTGGGTTCCTTGGGTCTTATCAATAATTTGGTTGTTTTATTGTAGTTTCGTACGCAAATATAACTAATGTCCCAAATTTCAGACTTCTGTGAACATTAAAAATACCCTGCACCGATTCTCAACCACTTGACCGATTTTTCTCAATTTTTCTTAATTTCTTTGAAATTGATTTCCCATTTCAGTCTTACTACATACGAACATGTGAAAACTTATCAATCGGAAAGTTTAAAGAGGGTTGTCGCGTATCAGACAGAAAAACAGACCAACGAGATTCTACTACATACAAGCCCTGACTCGGGTTAAAAATTAATGTAAGTGAGGAATTTTACACATACCGGAAATTTCGACCATCAATCCCGCTGGGCATGCATTGTAGAAATCGACAGGAAGTTTGCAAATTCGAAGTTCCTTATAGTCTGCGGTGCGCCAAAAACAATCGAAGCAGACGATATTTTCAGACTCTGAATCATGAAAAACCCTGTGCCAGGTACATAAAGGGGTACACAGACGGGAAGATTGTTCCGAAAGCTCACGCTTCTCCCCTGAAACACAAAGGTAAGCAGAATGTCATAGTGTTGTAGTGAAACTACTTAATTTTTACCATTTCCAAAGCGCTAAATCTTACGTTCAAGTTCAGGTCTCACTGATAGCATGTGTGGGTAACTGACAAACTCTTCTTTAGACATACATGGAGGCTTAGTTCTATAGAAGAGGAGTTGCATTTGGTATTGAAGCGTTCTACTATGGTAATTCAATATATGATCGTGAGGAAGACAATAAACAACGATAGACGTTCCGTGATCAGGTACGCTGTAGTACTGAATTGTGACATCCAACACGGCTCGTTTCAATAAGTCACCAAGTAGGCATTTTTTTAAATAGTCATCTCTCGATGGAAATGCATCAGCTAAAAATAGAATAAATTTGGTTTTTATTAATCCTGGCTCTAAAATATTTAGATTAAGTTCATAAATACTGGAAATACCTGAAACGATCTCATCCATATGTATATACTGCCCTCGATAGAGTTGTCGCCACCTCCACACAGCTAGTTGATTCAGGAGGCAAGCTAAACTTTCCCCACTTTCATTAATCATTTTTACTCTTGGTAAAATTGTTTTGGAGTTTGGATCATGGATCTGATAGATAGCAAGCAATTAATATATTACTTATACAATGAGAACTCAGGTGCATTTTTTCATTACTAATAAAGTCATACCACTTCAGTTATTCTGGCTGTATCATTGACCAGAGATCTTAGTTTTCTAAATTGTTCAACAAGGATTGGAATATCATCCTGAACTTCTGCCAGTTTAACAAAGTAAACGAACAATGGTATCTGCAGTGATTAAAAGTAATTCAAATGACAAAATAATTTAAAAAATTAATTGCTGCAATATATGTAGAAGGATATGTAACAGTGTACGCACCTTTAATATTTTATCGTCTGGTCTTATTAATTGACTAATGGAGTATAGGGATTTGGTCCCATATTCTAACAAGCGTACTTCAACCATATTATCCTTAACTAATTTTATTACGCCTCTGACGTATCCCGCCCCCAATGGACAAAGAACAACTTGGTTTATGCGAAGGGTTTCTTCTATCGAATATTTGATGGATTCTATTCAAAGAGAAATATTTCATAGTCAATCTAGTAAATTTTTGAAATATGTAGGAATGAATCGCAAAAACTAACTCACCTGACCCTGTTGATATCCAGTCCTTGATGGCCTCTTTAAGGTTACCGATGTGCACTTCAGCACCCACTTCAATCACAGAAAAGTTATTCATCCCGAGAAAACGATTGAATTTACAAACTTTATCCTTCAATTCGTAGACAGTGGGTAGTGCAATTAATCGATTATAGCTATGCTTAAAATCTTCCTCAGCAATGGTTAATGGCGATGGAATCAAGGTTTCTAATGTATCAGAACTGTCGGGTTCAAGTCCAAGTGATGACATCCTATGGATTAAAGCTTTTGGTTCTCTCGAAATGTAATCAAATGACGGCAACAGGGGTTTTACTCTTGAAGCAAACTGATTAGTAATAGTCAATTGCAGTTCATCACTACAATCGAACTGTGCTTCGTTTATCTTCAAAAGCGCTTCACAGAAGGTAACATTCTCACTTTCCATAAAGAGATCAACAACATGACATCCCTCTTCGTCCTGTAATATATAACAAAATTACTAGGGTAATAGTATTATTAGGACATACTTAGCTTATTAAACTTGGAAATAGGCAACATTGCTGCATATGAAGAAGGACAGATGCCTTAACGGAATCGAGTCAGACTTACAATTGCCAAAATACTTGCTTCTAAGATGTATTTATTTATCCGACGAAATCTGTTCATAATGGCAGCGTTTTCTTCAGTAACACCAATTGGGATGATTGGCAGAGCACAGGGATATGCTAGAGGAGGTTCCGACATTGCCACATCTGGCAGTTCAAGCAACTCCGTGCTCCGAAAGAGGTATGTTTCCCCACTGTCAATTAAGAGGACCTTTATCCTGCCATTTTCTTCAATTGCCTTGATATTACCACGAGCACTAATTTTTACACAAGAAACATTTCTAATCAAATCTGAGTATGTCAGTAAGTAAGGATGAATTATGAAATTAATAGATGACTTACTATTTTGTGGTCACTGGGTGCCGAACACAGCAAAGTGTCAGCAAAGGAAAGTTTCTCAAATTAAACATTGCTATTCCAAATGATGCTAGTCTTTCCATTAAGCTTTCGATGTTCTCAACCTCGTGAATTTTATTGTCTTCAATAACTGAAAAATGTTGATAAGAGGTTGGTCTGGGGCAAACTTTTACCTAGATACAAGAAACAATAAATTTTATTAAGTCATAATCCCGTTAACGAACCGTAATTGTATTCTATTCGTCGAATTCATTCTGACATCGGATTATCATTTAACTTACTCTAATTTTATCCCCAACATTAAATTTGCAATCTAAAGATGCTGCTGGGCCGGTAGGTACTGGTGAATCAGAATCAATAACTTGGCTGACTTGGCTGTCAATTTCCAGCTTATCCTCAAGTATATCCCTCTTAGGAGGAGCAGCAACAAATGAATCAGAGTCTTTGGTCTCATTCGTGGGTGGTACTGGTACGGGTGTTGGTATTGATGTCCCTGGGGCTTTCCTGACTTTTTTCGTACGTCCATCTCAAATAGATAAAAAAATTCGAATGAAACATTCCGTATTTCAAGTAAATATATGTACATTTTTTCTTTTGATCAGTATGTCAATGAAATTGAAATATATGAATGAAGGACTAGCCACGATATGAAACCACATCAAAGTAGACATATATGCGGTCACATATGTGATATGCGATACATAGAAATTTCAAGTTTTGCAACTGGGTATAGACATCAAGTAATGTAAATCTTTAGTTTTATCCATTCTGAATCAAGCAAATTACAACGGTAGTACGTAAGAATACTATTTTTAATACAAAGCTGTTTTTACATACACTGGTGCTACCAGCACATTATTGTCAAATAACCTGGAAATTAGTAATTGTGATCATAATCGACAAATTTCAATTATAAATAAGTTATATGCCTAAAGTTAGTAATATTATAAGTACACAAAATATGCTAAATATTGCTAAATATTTCATCGATTTGTAAAAACATACAGTATGAAAGGAAATTCGCAGTGGCAGTAAATAAAAAAGTAAATAGCATTTGGCCATAGGAAAGCAATCATTGAATACCTTCTCCTTTCTGCTTAGAGATTCCGAATCCTTCTTTAAGAACATCTTTCGACGACAAGCCAACCCGTCCACTCCCTTTTTCTAATCTAAACATTGGAAATCAAACAATTAAATTAGAAATTGACTAACAGAAGGGCAACTAAGAAATAGTTTAAACAGATTAATGGTTAAGAGGTATAAAATCTATTTCGATATGTTTTCTTACTCAGTTTTTAAACAAGCGTGGTTACAGAAGACTAGTAAACAGCGAACACACACTCCAAAGTCTCTGTCCGGAATGCAAGCACAATTTGTGTTAATGATTAAGTGATCACATTCATTGTCGGCGCCCTTGCCAGCAGTTTTTATACTAAGGCAGAAATCACGATCAGTCATCGTAACAACCCTGGCCCTCTTGGTAATCTCCCTACAATCAATCAATCATTGCATAAGTTTAGTAACAAGAAGTTTAAAATGCTTTTGTTTAAGTTGCAGAAAGATACAAACGACAAGAAGTACTTACGAGTCCCAGGACGACTTCAGCTCATGCTTTTCCATACACGACTGGAACCTCTTGTCACTGACAATGCTGCAAACCAAAAAATGGTTCTCATCAGGTATCTTACAAAAATATAAGATTTAAATTTAATGAATAATAAAGAATACTTACGTTTTATGAGATAGTTTCGTAACTTGTTTCTGCTTAGCTCCAAATATACTATTTCTGGAAGAATCTGATTCAGCTTGAGAAAGACCAGAAGAACCAGGACCATCCCCATCTGCGTAGGTAGACCGAAATGTTCGACCCCTTCCACGGCCCATTCCCATCGTCGGAAGAAACTCATCCTTTGTAATGATAGTCAAATCTCTGAATCTTAATGACTCCCTGATAAAGTCCGGAATATCATCCTCTGGCTTGCGATTCAACCACTCTTCAAGTGCTGGACTTTCATTGTCCTCCTTATGTTGTTGACCTTGCTTTTTTTCCAAAGTAATGGTTGGACGTTGTTCATCATCATCAGAGTCATCGGAGGATGTGTGTACTGGAATCAGTCCCTTGCCCCTTCCTCTACCGCTGTCGACCAAATTAACAAGATTGATTTTTCTACCATGACGTAGCAGCGACGTTGTATGAAGCTACGTGAAATATGTCTTTACCTCATCGCCATGTTACTGGTAAGAAATTCTACTCCGAAGCAAGAACTTGAAATTATAGAACTATCTCTTCTCTGCCTTTGGGCTAAGATCAAAGTGTAGTATCTGTTCTTATCAGTAGAATACAAATTGTAGAACTGACTAATTTCAACTTTCTCTCTTTCAAGGGAGGAGAATAAGAATCCGGCAGCAACACAAGGACCAGGATAAGCGTGAAGGAAGGGATGTCCCTCGCTTGATAAGACGGACCGATTTTGTCGGCGAGGGAACGAATAAGACCAGCCAGCCACAAGTGAAGGAAAAAGAGAGCCAAGCCACACTCGTGCTGTCCACCGCCTCAAAGTTAAAACCCTGCTTGTGTGTGATGGAGGAACCTGAGAGTAGCAGACATTCAAATTCAGACATGCAAATTAGCAATGGATCCAGCCAGGAATGTTGACGCCACAAATTCCATGTACGAATATTTACGAATTATGCTTGAAATCTGAAATGTTTGCGATTTGTTGCAAATTGATTGAAGTGAATTGACAATTATGGTAGTTGTTTAAAATGGCCTCAGTACAATATATTAGTCATCTTCCAAGCAGCAAGTTGACGTGACTCTAATAAGGAGGAGATGGTAGCAGGTTGTTGGATACGTTATAAGTCTATGATGTATACAAAAAGTGAACGATTGAAGTGTTCAATATTTTTGAATTTTTTTGTATCGATGTTAAATTTCAGAAAAATTAAGTTTGCTATTGGATATGACAGAGCAACTATCTGGGACCACAGAATTGTAAAAATTATCAAAATCTGAGCAGATCTTGATTTTTGACTGCAGTTTAAACACACGAGAAAGTGAGGCCCTAAAAGCTCAATCCTCCTTTGCATTTTCTACACTCAGAGTCTTCGTCTCAAATCAGTCTCATGGGTGCAGATATTTGAGACAGGTCATCATAACGTTTGGCATTCCTTTGGAATTTGGATGAACAAATAGTTATGAATCTTATAACCTATACAAGCTGAAAACGCCCGTTCAGGAGATGCTTATTTTATGGATTCAAAATTTCTGGTGGAGGTAAACTAATTTCAAATATGTATGCCGGAGGCATTTGCAATGCATTTGATTCATTTTCTTGCAAATTTATGCAGCAAGAACATGATTTGCTAAATGCGAAAATAAGGAGCCCACAGAACAAGGTAGGATATTGTTTTCCGTTTTATCTTGTAACTTCTCATGGCACAAGCAATTGATCTGTTTATTAAATACTCGTAAATCTAATCTATATGTATCATATCTAAGTAGACATATTACTTTAGTTTATTTGTAATTCATAACAATATATATGTATGTAATTATCTATCATAATAATTATTTAACTGGTTGCATCTATAGATTATGTATGATCCATCCATAAATGCTTTGATAATCAAAAAAGTAACAATTTACCAATACATATTTAGTATCATTATTATATCTTCCTACCAATCTATACTTGCTGATTTATGCTTATTACATGAATAATAATAGTAACAATAATAATAATAATGAACCAACATTTTATGAGAGAAAAAATGTCAAGTGTGTATTTTTCTTATGGAGAACGTTGCTTAAGTAAATTCATCATCTCTTTGTTTCCTATAAAAGCTTTAAGTAAGATTCATGGCGACGCGACGGTGGTGGCGTATTTATTAATTAATTATTAGCTACTCTACATCTTAAAGTGATAAATATTTCCTATATTATTCTTTAAAGTTTCTCTCCAGAATTTAATAAAATTCTAACGTTACACATTTTTATTATACACATCAGAGCAGAGTTTCTTGTGGAGTAAAAATTGTGCACTCTCCATTACTTACTTTTTAAGTATTTAGTGTAGTAGTACCAAACTATTTATGGCTGTATAATATTCTTTTATTATGTCGCTTTTTGTAGCATCTATGCACGTGTGTATTAGGTAATAGCTATCTAAAAAGTATGTAAAACTATCGCCGTAAATGTAATTTGTACAGGATAGATCTATACGACTATCGTTGATCATTTGATCAGGGACTGTGCAAAAAGCGTGTGATCGACTTGAGGGGGGTAGGGGTCAAGGCATCCTTGGGGATATAGGTCACACCAGCGGGGGTAGGGGTCAAAACTGCCCGAAAATCGATCACATGTTTTATGTACAATCCCTCAGCTTCTTTTCTCGCTTAGACGAGTAAATGCTAATTTATTGTTATCCGTAGAGTTTATTAGTATGTATGCTGTACTGTATTTACCCACATATGCACTTATCCATACGTATTAATAATGGTTTGCATAATTCTCCACCTAGCTATCCTTATGTTAAATAGTATCTAATTTACCCTAACGATTGACCACGCACTTGTGTAATTAGTACTAACTGTGATAATGAGAGTTGTATTTATTCAAGTTATTACTAAATTAATAGACCACCGGTAAAAGAGGGCCAAGTCTGATAAAGGTCATCAGTATAAAAACGCAATTTGTATGTATCGTTATTATGTATGTATGTATGTACTCGAATAGTCTTACTTAAACTGTTAACGCTGTTTGTCAGTAGTGTTATCTTTTCTATTTTACATTGTTTTTGTACACAATGAATGAAGTCAAATATTATGAAAAAAACTATGCTTCGTTATTTCTGGGGTGGTTGAGTGATGAGTGGGGGGAGGAAAGAGATGGTCCTACCAACTAATAAAAAATCTTTAACCTTAATCGCCCTAAATTTTACGTTTTAGTTTATTATCACTGGCTCTTCAAAGTTTGCATTTAACTAGTTTTAATAATCATAATAATAATAATAGCTGAGTACGTTGTTTAAAAAAATGTGTGGGTGTGGTGCGTACGTATTCTGTTGCATGCATGCAGTATTCATTTGTTTGTTCTCGTCTTGACGTCCTTTCGTATTTACTTAAATGCACTATGAATGAATTGAATTGAATGAATGCATGAAAGCCATTTCATTTTGGTTCTCGTATGTATGTAGGAAATTCTACGTAATAGTGTGATAATAATAATATATGTAATATTTCATGTAATTAAGTAGGTGAGAATTAAGTCAATCAAAATATCATTTGAGCTTTTTATCTGTGACTTCTGCTTTACTGGTTGGTGGGGGTTCAACCATCGTCCAACTAGGCCACATCTGTGTGGGTATAGCAATTAGCAATCAAAATGCATAAAACAAAATACTGTTAATACTATGACAAGTAGTAATAAGCTGCCAATACAATGACCCATAATAATGATGATGGTATTATATAGTGTGATGCCGAATAACGTGTGAATATTCGAGCTGTGGTAGTAATGGGACTATGTTTATAAATATACATATTCAGCTAAATCAACAATTTGAGGGCCTGCTTAGCAGGAAACCATAAGGAATGGAAGATATTAAAATAATGGCTGAAATAATGAGCACGATGATGAAACCAGTGCAGAGATATTTTGGTATTTCAGTTTATAAATGACACCATGAATCTGGAAAGTCTATCATTATAAATGGCAACTAAAAAACTGTCAATTGTGGGATATAACATTTGAAGGTATTTGAGTTGAGGTGCTGCTGAACTAATTATTTTAGCTGTGAAAAACTTGTAACAAAATTAAATGGACTTGGCTCTATAGAATGCAAGGTTGTTGTTGCAGTGTAAATATTCGGAATGGCTGCTACTGCTGGCTCAGGAGATCGGATAACAAGGTCCAAAAGAAGATGATTTCTATTTCGTTAGTAACTGTGGAGTTCAATATAAAAAAAGGTCAGCTTCCATCGCAAATTGTAAAAATAGTGATTGGTAAGTATGTACATGTTAGACTTATGTTGCTTACTTGAAGAATTGCTGGTTTGGAGGAGTATTAGGATTCGGGGGCATATTTGACTGCATTGAATTTCGCCCATTGTTTGACCCCGTGGCATAAAGTTGTTGTTGGAAATGATGGAATTGTTGGGAATAAGCAGGATCAGAAGGTGAGGGGATTGGACCACCAGGTCCGGGGCCATTGTGACCTTGAGGATATCCTTGAGGTGGACCTCCTTTCATTCCTGGACCGTTTGGTGGACCACCCATCATTTGAGGGGGCATTTGCTGACCAGGACCACCCATTGGACCACCATGGCCTTGGTCCATCATTGGCGGAGGACCTCTCATAGGTCCACCACATGGGCCTCCATTATTTCCCATGGGGCCATTGTTCCCCATTTGTCCGGGTGGATATTGCAGACGATTCCCCATTCCAACATTCACATTCATCTGTAAATTTAAAGGATAATATTATTACAAGTTATAAAGTTTGATATGTATCATGAAAAGTAGGTGAAAACAAATAAATGCAATATATAATAATCGTGTATGTGTACGTACCCCCATATTTACGTTGACCACAGGGCCAGGAGATGAATTGGTGTATCGTTGGAGAAATTCGAGATTAGGACCCGATCTTCCAGGAGGTCCATTTCCGGGACCCCCCATTCCCGGTGAGCACATGCCACTAGGGCCTTGATTGTGAGGAGGAGGTGGTCTTGCTGGAAGGTATTGAATAGTATTGGGGGCATTCGGCTTTACTTGAATATTTGTACCACCGAAAGGCCTAGGAGGCCCATTCGGAGGCCCGTTTGGAGGCATTCTATAAGGTGCTCCTCTCCCAGGGGGTCCTCCTTGCATAGAACCTCCTCCCATTCCACCCGGAGGGCCCTGTCCTCCTGGTCCTGGTCCCATTCTTGGCGGCGGTCCTTGATTTGGATAACCCATTCCACGAGGAGGCATACTCATAGGTCCACATCCCATGGGGCCACCCATTGAATTTCCAGGTCCGCCGGGGCCCATATTGTTCGGACCTTGATTCATGCTGTTGGGACCTCCTGGCATTGGACCCATTGGACCACTGCCGATGGGAGGCATGTGGTTCATTTGTTGAGGACCCATCGGACCCATATGTCCCATTTGATTGTTCATAGGACCCATGTTTGGGTTGGGGTTCATGTAAGAAGGAATGTTTTGAATATTCATTTGATGAATTGTCATTGTGGCATTGACATAGGTGTTGTTGACAGTCTGTGGCCCTCCCATTGCAATTCCCCCGTCCACATTCTGAAATAATATATAGAGTACAGATTAATGGCAGTTTGAGTCATTCAGTGACACATACACACGTTACATATGTACGTAGCCAGTAAAAGCCAGATTAACTTGAGAGCATACATAATATGCTCTTTATATAATGTGTTGATATAAGTTTACCTGCACGCTATGAAGGGAAGAGTTAAAGTTTACCATGTTATGATTCAATTGCGTGTTTCCGGGAGGAGGATGCATTCCGTAGTTGCCATTGCTGCTTCCCATACTGTACCAAAAAAAGTCAATATTAATGATAAAGTTTGGCATCACAATAATCAGCCTCATTTTAGCAGATGATAAATTCCTTTTGCTGTTTAGATTTTTGCAGGGATGTGTTTTAAGGATATGTTTTAAGAATGTGCTTTTTAGGATGACTCGAAAACTTGAATAGGAGTTTGCAGGTTAAAACATATAAATGTAGGAGGAACAAGTTCGAGGTATTGGAAAGAGTAAACAAATAATTCGCTTTAACTGAACTACTGAGCATAATAAATCTAAATAATAATAAACTATTAAAAACAAAACGGTGCTCCTCTTCTGTTTAATATTGGACTTTGACACCAAACAAATGTGGATGGAGTAATTCATGACACATGAGTAATTCACTTACTTATTGCCTGAAGGATTAGGAGGCGTGCCATTTCCGCCTGTAAGCTGCTGTGACATTTGTACCATAGAAGAGATGGGATCGAATGCTGGTTTTCCAGGTCCGGGTCCGGGTCCGGGTCCGCTGAGATTTGGATTGAGGGGAACATTGTCGAAAACTGGGCCATCCGGTGGTCCATCCATTCCAATCGGAGGTAGGCCTTGTTTCATCATGTTGCATTGTGAGGGCGGTCCTCCATTTGGATTCATTCCGGGGGGAGGAGGTCCACCAGGACCAAAGTTGTTCATTCCGCTGTTATTTGGAGTATTCCCTGCTGAGTTGGAAGGATTTCTCATTCCGTCAAGATTCATTTGCGGAGTTCCGGGTTGAGATGTGCTATCAAGTCCCCTGGGGCTGGGATTGGGTGTCGTGTTATTATTATTTTTGGGAGTTATGGGTCCTACGCTACCAGGCCGATTCTGAAAAGTTCAAGAAAATATAGAAAGGTTAGATGGTTGTTGGTTGGTAGGAGAAAAATGTCCAGGATATACGCATACATATGTACCATCTCAATAGAAGACTATTATTTACCTTTGCATTTGAGTTTCCTGAATTCATATCAGAGGATTTTTGATTGCTGCCGAGAGGGACGGGCGTGGGAGGTTGAGTGGGAGGTTTTTGTTGGCCTAGTGGTGTTGAGGGATTCATATCCTGAGACATCCTGCAGATGAAATAAGATATCGTTGTCATATTATATACCAAGACTTTTTTATTTCTATTTATCCTACACATTATAAAATAATTGCAAACAATACATATACACGTTTGTACATACCCAGGAGAATGTTCGTTATTGTGGTCCGTCAGTCCGACGTTAGGTTGCTTTTGTATCGTTAGCTCTTGGCCTTCAAAGACATTGAGGTATTGTATTTGTTGAGGTGAAGGGACGGGCATAAGATTGGCTTCTTTTACGGAAGGAGGGGCTGAGGAGTTGGGGGATATAGAACAAGAAGACTTTTCCTTCCGACTTTTGCCCCCTTCACTATTGCTACTTTCAGAGTCTTTTCGTTGGACGGCGGAGGAGGGCGAATGTTCTTGTCCAGGCCCCACTTGAGGACTGTAGTAACCTGAGGGGTAAAATGAATGACCACCTCCTCCAGGGTACATAGCATCACCTCCTGACATTGGCGAATGAGGCGACGGTCTGAAATTTTCAAAATATCCAGTTATTTAACACCCTCAACATGCATATATTACCTTCATTTGTATAAAAAAGCAATGCATTTTTAAAGCACTAACCTTGGAGGACCACCACATGAACTACTTGGCGTGAGAGGTGTGGCTGGACTAGGTATGCTACCACCTTTTCCAGGGCGGCCATTTCCCTGCGGACCCATTCCAGGAGGTTTAAGTCCGGGTGGCTGGCCTTGACCTTGTTGAGGACCATCCATGTAAAACCCGCTTGGCGGAGAGGACCATTCGTTTCCGGGATGTTTGTTACCACCACCACCAGGGCCGGGTCCGTAGTCCATATGACCTGGAGGAGGTTCTCCCTGCATCAGTAAAAAACAATATTGTTGTAAAACACACCGTACATTAATTTAATTTGACTTTTTAATAGCCATCTCATTAATCAAGTAGCGAAGCTTACCGGCATATTATACACGTCTAAGTTTTCATGAGGCGGCATTGGATGGAAATTTGGGTCTCCACCTGGTACGTTATGACTTGAATGAGGATCATTTTCTGGAAGCAGTAATTGTTGAATTCTTTTCATCTTTGCGAGTTGCTCTTCTCTATGCATTCGTTGCTGTGGGGTTAGATTCTCATCCGGAACCTTAATTCCGGGGGGCATAGGTCCATGAGGACCCATATTGTTCGGATGACCACTATAGTATCCTGGAGGGGGACCCCCACCCGGGCCTTGGCCACAAGGTCCCATATTGCCTGGTCCTCCTCCGTACGGTGGGCCGTCATAGTAATTCGGGTAGCCTTGATTCTGAGGCTTCTAAATCAAGGTAAATTGTTAATTCTCTCATACATCAATTTGAAAATATGATTTCATAAATAGTGCTTTTACTGTCAAACTTACCGAACTATTTTGAGTATTCCATGGACCAGGAGGCGGGCCGCCCTGGCCGGGCATCTGATTGAAATCAGGAGGCATATTGGGTGGAGGAGGTCCTGGTCCCATATTCGGTGGCATGGACATTTGTTGCTGTTGTTGCTGCTGCTGTCCTTTTGAAACCTTCATTTTCCCACCAACCCCGCCCGAAGGAGGTGGAGCTGGACCAGGCCAATTGGAATTTTGAAATTGACGCCCAAAATTGTTTTTGAACGGATGTTTCTGCAAATAAACCATGTTCAATACATTAATAACGTAAAAGAGAAATTATGCAATTCAACTCTACTCTTTGACAATCGCCGCCTATGTAGTTCGTCTCTCGCCAATCATCCGATACTCGAACCTTTATTTAAGTATAAAGTCATTATATTTTTGCATATTATTACTGCAACCTGCACATATACTTTTCCTTCATCAAAAATTAAGAGTCGTGGCTCATATCAAGTCCTCGTAGCCATATTTACTTAAAAAAGCAGAGCTGCTTATTTTGAAACAATTTGTCCACCTACCTCAAGGAATTTGCGCGTTGCAGGTTGTGAAGTATGGAAGGCGATAATGCTCGGGTAGTGGTGTTGAATCACTTCTTCCGCTGCCTTATTCGCCAGCTTTGTTGAGAACACAAAGAGTTGGCTCTGCTGCTGCATGTAGGGGGCTTCGAGGGTGTTGGGCTGCTGTTTCGTGGGCGGGTGGGGTTGCTGAGGGTGCATTTGTGGAGGTCCAGAAGGATAATTCATTGGACCACCCGGTCCCATCCCGCCAGGACCTGGTGGCCCACACGGTCCCCCGTGCATAGGGCCGTGAGGATGAGGTGGTCCAAAGTCCCCGCCGGGAGGCATGTTGTTGTAGGGAGGATAACCGTAGCCCATTGCAGGTTTACCTGTGCATACAATTTATGTATTACCTTTCTGATTTATAATCACGGATTGCAGGTATATTTTAATGTATAGGCAAATTAAGCTGTATTTAAAAACAACTCACTCAGCTTCTCTAAACATAGCTTTTGATAGTAATCAATTATTGTTTTAATTCGTTCCTCGTTCTCAATCTTCATAATTAAACTATTATAGTAATTTAAAACAAACCTAAATATTGTTGAAAATATAAAATCAAGAACTATCCAAGTTTGTAATAAATCAAGTGCAAAGCTCTTGGATTTGCAGCAAAGCTGTCACCTTTACATAAATAATCTTATTTGCATTTGAATACTATGTCCCTATTGAAATTGTGGAATTTGCAGTCCAGCGTAGTTAATTCATAAACTCATGCAAAGCGTGTTTGAACTTTTCTGCATAACATGTTCCATTTGCATTGCAATGCAATGAAATTACTGAAGATACGCATGGAAGTAAATCAGGTTTCATTGAAGTTAGCTTACAGTCAGGAGGGAAGTCGTGTCCCATGTCGCCAAGGGACGGAATATCGGGTGGGCATTCGGAGTGTTGGTGAGGCGTGGGTGGGTTTTCCATCTTGATGTCCCCACCATTCATGAGCATGTCGTCGTGGAGGCCGCCTTTGTTCCCCTGGGGATGAGAGAGGTTGGGGAGGTCCATGGAATTGGGGTCATATTGGTTTACGAGAGAACCTAGCGAGTTGGGACCATTTCCAGTGCCACCGCCTGGATCCGGACCACCAACGGGATGCTTCTCCTCTTTAACCTACAAGTTCCGGAATGTTAATTAATTAAATGTCCAATTGATCGAGATCTGTACATTATTGTGTTCAATCATACTCTAAATAAATACATTGCTAAATGATTACCTTGCTTATTCCATTCTTATTTCTCTTCCGTGAAACCTTCGCCTGTGGCCCCCCTGCCACAGGACTTTTCCGAGGATTTTTTCGATGCTCCATGTCTTTATTGATTATTCTTCTTCTGCTGCTGCTGTTCCGGCTACCTGGTTGGGATTACAAGTGTCGCTGCGACACTGGTCATCTTCTTCCCTTCATCTTCATCGGATTACAGAACTCTGGAAACAAGAAGACATTTAAGATTAATGGGGTGTTTACACATGTTCCTCTTTCTCTACGAATTCAGGCATCAACAACACGTCCGTATTTCAACATTGCTTCTCGTTTATCATTTCGAACGATTTGTTCCACTATCCATAGTAGACACACGCACTTTCTCTCACTCTACTTATTCCTGCCAGGTTTTACACTTATTTTTTTGTAAATTAAAGAATGAGTTTTGCAGCTCATAAAACTGTTAACAGCTTATTCTTGCCTTCATCAAGCCAACCAAAAACCCACGCCAAAAACTAAGCGGTTGATCTCCGAGTCTAATTATTCATCATAATAATAATCATTCATCGTTGACCTCCATACTTTCCCAAGAACGTCCCGATACGTTTCGTAAATACACCTTTCAACCTTAAAACCCATTCTGCACAAGCTAAACTTTATTTTCATAATGCAGTAATAATATCTACAAGGTTGATAACTATTACTTCGTATGTACACAGTATGTAAAAGTACTCAAATATGTGTGTAGTCTCCTTGTATTTTTGATGGATTGTATTAAACGGAAAAGCTTAGCATTATCACCGCAGCAGAGAAAAGCACGTCGTACGGATAGAGTTTTTACGAAAACCTAAAAATACACTAATTTAAATTGAACAGGAATAGGAAGGGTTGCCAACTTCTAAAAATACTGCGCTGACTGACTACTATACTTTTTGCCACACCGTTGCGTTGCAGGACAAGCACATTCTTTCGTACTAGTCAAGCACAAAGTTTTGACTATTTCGGAATTTTCGTCAGAGGATCCAGCCCATAATAACAAAAACATGCATAGCTAAATACACATTTATGATATGTAAGATTTTGGCTTGATCGTAATCTGAAGCACTTTCGTCCTATTATTTTTGCCCGTTTTTACTATTATTATATTGTTTTAATATGAACAAGAAAAAACATCACATCAGAATAATTAACCCCGTTGTAGATTTCCTGGTAACGGAGAATACAGTTGACAGCGTATTAAAGCATCAATCGACAGTGTCGATTCGACACTCAAACGTAAAGGAAAAAATTTACGATACACAAAATTTTTTTTGTGTCGATTTTAGATGTTTGTCCTGTTTTTCTCTTCGTGGTGGCAAAGTAATAAACATCGAGATTTATACCTACTAAAATACTTTGGAACTCGCGACAGACAACAACATCGCGTTCACGCTCATTCCTTCGGAAACTATTTTTAAGCGAGTTTTTTTTTCGTTTCTGACTGGATCCGAATAATTTGAAAATTCAAATGCTTATCAAATGTTGCAGGTCATTGGTACATACAAATAAAAGTTCATGTACTTTAATCAATTGGCCTTGACCTCTCATTGTGCACAGGATAACAATAATAATGTGCTCCACACGTTTATCAGTATGACTCAGAAATTTAATGTGCCTTGCTCCAACAAAATTTAACATCAGGATCGAATAAAAGTTCGCATTATGTAAGTTCACAGACGATGACAATGTCGTCTGAAACACGACGCAGCTTTTTTATCGTAACATGATACATCGTATTATTTCCTCATGACAATTCATAATACATATGTGATAATAATAGCCCTTTCTTTCTGCTCGCTTTACACGAATCACGCACAGCAGTCATTTACGGATGTGTTAACCTACGGTCATTCATAAAATGCAATTGTCATCAAGTAATTTTTGTATTCCAACTTGTCCAAAAATTGTGTCCGACCTAGACTACTGCACTGTTGGTCCGTGTAAATACCTGCGTAGATAAGGTCTCACCAGGAAAAAGCAGTCACAAAGGTGGAGGAAATTTACCCATCCAAACTTTTTTGTTCTCTCAATAATGCATGCACACAAGTGCTTGGTGTTGACGGTGACGATCTCATTTCTAACAATGGTCAAGAATTAAACTGTGATTGAGAACATTCATGAACCCAACTTCCTGTAATTTGCATTTATTCGCTGATTTCATTGTAAAATATTTATTTCCAGTTTAAGCGAAATTTATTCACTGTCATAATGGCTTTTGCAGTATTCTTCTCGGCATGAATGGTAATAATAATGCGGCATGCGATACCCACCTCGTGAAACGTCCACAGGATTTAGTTACAACAGGATTTAAACTTCTTATTGTATGTATACATACATATACTCGATAAATATCTGGTGAAAAAATAATGAAGAGATAAATTTTCGCCGTCATACCCATTAGGATTACTACTTGTTAGTGAGATCATGTTTGTTGTCTTTGAACGAGCATTAAATCTTGTGTCACTTCCAAACTGTTTGAAAATCTGTGCATTGTTTTATTTGTCTGACTAAACAAGAAGGAAAAAGAGGATGACAAAAGTGGTGTCATCCATTCCTCCTTTCGTTCAGGTCTTTCTTGAGTGTAACGTAACACTGATCTCACCCAAGTTCTCCTTGTTCCATGGCCCACTAACTTTTTATTTCACTCATTGTCTCTCCAGTAATTCTCGGAATTAGTGAATTCCTGAAGCAAAGTTGAGCATTTAAAACGTCATTACTTTCCAAGGTGTACCTACGATGCAATGATGATGATCATGACAATGACAGCTATAAAGTTGTTGTAACTTGATTAAGGCGAATTCCACTTTGGATTACTTTTCTCTTATGGAAAAATGCAGTTGGAGGGAAAGCAGGATAAATAAAGAGACTCGTATTTCGTATGAAAATAACACAAACTTTGCCTAAACATAAACATAATGTTTAAATATTACATGCATTTGTTCCATGAAATAAGTATGTTTGTAAGAGCTGCTAAAACTGCCTGATCGTTCGACGAATATGTAACATCATTATTATTTTTCAAAGCAAGATCAAATAATTGAATCTCAATACTTCAAATGCGTACGGGAATACGGGATATTATTTCTAAAAACTTTTTAATAAATTTAATCAATCAGTTGGAAAAGTTGTACAACAGTTTACCAACTTTTTCCATGTTCAAAGGGAAATACGAAACTGAGAAGCGTAACTTTCGTGGAATTTACAATTTTCAGGATCTGGTCTACTCCTCTCATAATAACAAAAACATGCATAGCTAAATACACATTTATGATATGTAAGATTTTGGCTTGATCGTAATCTGAAGCACTTTCGTCCTATTATTTTTGCCCGTTTTTACTATTATTATATTGTTTTAATATGAACAAGAAAAAACATCACATCAGAATAATTAACCCCGTTGTAGATTTCCTGGTAACGGAGAATACAGTTGACAGCGTATTAAAGCATCAATCGACAGTGTCGATTCGACACTCAAACGTAAAGGAAAAAATTTACGATCTCCTTTAAAACCCGGAGTCGGAATACCCTGTTTACAATCCTTTTACACTAATACAAACACGTCGTGCAGGTAGTCGGCTTCCATCCATTCATATCACCATCAGATAATAATAATTATCAACTTATGGGGTTTTACCAGGTTTCACACAGTCTAAAAGCTTATTTTTCATGAGAGAAATATTAGCGCAGTTTCTACTAATGTAAATGAAATCAAACTTGACAATTTCCCATTTTTTAAATTACTTACGCAAAAGGTTGACTTGCGTATCATGAAAGCTATTCAATTCCTCTTGTTTATCTCCCTGTTAACGATTTTTATTGCATTAATTGGTGCTAACTAAATACGAACCGCTCCCCTATTAAATAACTTGGTATCGAACAATCGGTATTACAAAATGGTGCGAAACATTTGGAGAATCGATGTAAAACGCACCAAAAGTGTAGAACAACCGAAAGAAACAATTCTGAATCAAGTTTTTACTTAAAATTATGTCAAAATTATGTATCTACTTTCCCCGTATTACAGAACGAGCTACTCCTAACATAACAACGGTTTATTTATGATTTTATTAACAAAATCCTGTCCTTTTCACATATTAGAAATTACCTTCATGAAGCATGGTAACAATTAAGTGTTCCCTCGTACCCTCAAAAACATTTTTACAACTTTTTATTGATATTCAACAACTCTGTTCTTTCAACCATTATTATTCTCTCTCGTGGCATGTATGCATGTAGAATCTTCATGCAAAGCAATACAAGTGAGGAGCCAAGTGGTTGGAAAAGTGCAGTAATTATCCGCTTATTATACGTGTCTTCTTGGCTTGATCCAGATCAGGTCAGATATCTTTTACGCTTTTATTATTACTTGTTATTATATTCTTCGTATTTCTTCTTCGTCCAGAATAGATGGATGGATTGGTGAGCGAGGCTTGAACGTTTTTTATGCTGCTTCTCTTCTCCTGAGATTTTAGAAACTGATACGATCTCATCAGGCCAAAACCGGCGGACGGACGGACGAACTTGAAGTGAAGGGATTTCCGCCGTTTAACTAAACTATTAAATCAACTTGTGTTTCCCAGTTATACATTAAAACAACTAAAATCCCTCACTCCATACATACACGGGTGAACGTATGGAATATTACAATTAGATCCATGGCTAGTTATGTTAATGAAATAACAGCAACATCCTCTACCTCCGAGTTTGATAAAACTCACCCACACCCAGTTCTAATGATAGCAGTATAAATAAGTAAATTGCATTGAGAGAAATAAATCTACAACTAAATACTCACTCCTACTACAAGGCGTCGTACGTATGTACATATTCCAGAATTTTTCAGAGTTTCAACAACCCCTAAAAAATCAGTAAAAATAACACATGCGCCAGAGTAAGTTTTTTCTACTTATTCAAGTCCTAGTAGTAATGTGAACTTATTCCATAATCGGTGTGAGAGGATGAGAATTTGTGAGGTTCTTAATTTTATGTTGCGTTAAGATAAGATTGCATGCGCTAAATGCTTTTTCTATCGCAACAACCTCACTTATTCTATCCGTGCATATTATGTACACACTGGTTTCCTTTTTCATTTGGAGGACTCGAGAGTCGGTTTATTTATTCGACTTGTTCCATCTCTCCTTGTAGACTGTTTTGTAACAATTATGCAAATTACCATGATGATGAT